TATAAAATCACAACAAAAATAAAAAAAATAATATTCTCAACACTCTTCCTCCTTCATTAATCCCCAATATATTCTAAATAACAAACAACTTCCGTAACAATGCCAAAAAAATTCCCCCCTTTTATAATTGAGTTTAAACAATCCTTTGGATGCGGAAGTAGTTCCATTCCCCTTTTTTTTTTTTTTTTTTCATGCGAAATGACCCGATTCTTTACCGAGGGATTAGTAATACCACGGCTTTTTTCTATCGGGAGAAGTGTCTTTTACAAAAGTGTGTGTAACTGCACCTTATGAGCTGTTTATTGTTTATTGTTTATTATCATTTTACCATACAAACAAACATGTACGTATAAAGCTTAAAAGAAGGCAAGGGATCCCAAGGAAGACAATAAGGCTTGTGAACAGGACCCACTTTAGTTATTATGTCATATAATTAATAAATAAAATACTGAAGGGACCAAGAAAGCGGCGTTTCACCGTTCGACTGTAAAACCGTTTCGCCCATTATTGGTTTCTTTTCTAATTAAGTTCGACGTTCAAGTCAGTTCGACGTTTGACTCAGCAGTCGAACTTAAGGTCCATCCAAATCGTAATTTAGTTCGTCTCATGATAAGTTCAACGTCTTGCCCCCTCCTTAAGTGAAGGATTATGCTACCTAATCGTACTTAATTTCGCGTTTTCGCGATTGTGAATAAATCGCGAAATTAAAGACCCGCGAATATACCCACGCGAAATTTAAAACCCATGTAGAAAATTCAAAACACACACACAAAAAAAACCCCTCAAAAACACAGAAATGTTAACAATTTAGCAACAGCATATACATACATTATGTTCAACAAATACACAAATTGTTGATTGGTTTCACTGGCATGTGAAATAACGTTAATTGCAAAGATTTCACACATTGCTTGTTCCAGTTTATCTAGAAAATTCAAAAAGCTCAGACTTTTTGAAAAATAAAATCAATTTGAGAACGCTTTAATCGCGAAATTCAATGGTCGTTTTTCATATTTGCCTGTTGAAATCGCGAAAATAAATCCCCGCGAAAAACTATCTTGCCAAATTCGCGGAATTAAGTGTTTCTTTTTCTTATTTTTTTTCTGTCTACTTTTTTCATGAATTTTTGCGGCGTAGGTATTTCGAGTACTCCTGAATTTTATGTTTTCGTTTTCCTATCCAGATTGTTCTAGTTATTACTTTGAAAAATACCAAGATTTACCAACCAGAGGACAAAAAAGCGCCGTGGAACATTT